TTCTGTCCTTGTCATGACCATGCAGAGATGTGGATGTAGGGCTAGGTCAGGCTTTTGTCTCCTATGCACTACTGTGTCTGTTAAATCCACTCTTTTTTTTTCCTAGAGCCCTGGCAGTGACTTTGTGGCTGTGGACTATTGTCCTGGTCCCTATAAAACTCATGGTATAGCTTTGTCTCCAAATGTACCTGTGACATGTCCAGATCCATTCTCATCTAACTGTGGCATTCCCTGTAACCATGTCTGTGCAAGTCTGTGCTTCTAGTTTAATGGCTGATCCTCCTTTTCTCCCCTCTCTTCTTTCCTTCTCCACATTCCCTGGTCCAGGCAGCACTGCTAAGTCAGCTGTTCTCATTGTCAGCCAAGGTGGGAGAAACCATCAAGATCACCTGCTCTGGGGGTGGCAGCTACTATGGCTGGTACCAGCAGAAGGTCCCTGGCAGTGCCCCTGTCACTGTGATCTACTACAATGACAGGAGACCCTCGGACATCCCTTCGCGATTCTCCGGATCCAAGTCCGGCTCCACGACCACATTAACCATCACTGGGGTCCAAGCCGAGGACGAGGCTGTCTATTTCTGTGGTAGCTATGAAAGCAGCAGTAATAATCTTACCACGGTGACATGGAGCAATGAGGAAGTGATACAAAGCCATCCTGCCATGGCAGGGGCTGCTGTCTCTGCTGTCCCTGTTTGATGATGGGACAGGTCCCTGGCATGACTCTGCCCTTGCTGCCCTGTGCTAATGTGGCTGGGCCTGGTGTTCCAGCACCATCCAGTAGAATCCTTCCCTTGTCATTTGTGGAGGAGAGCAGATGGGATAGAACTTAATAGACTACTTCAGATGGAAGAGCCCTTCAATGATCACATAGTTTAACTGCCTGGCCAAAATGCAGAACATTGTCCCAATGCCTCTACAACACTGTCAGGCTTGGGATATGATCCAATTCTCTAGGAAGCCTGTCAAGTGTTTGAACTCACTCTCAGTAAAGAAATGCTGGCATGACCTCCCGGCAACCTCCCTGCCCTGTGCTCCAGGTCCAAGGTCCCCCCGCTCTCCCCAGCTTGTGCCCAGGGCCCAGCCAGCTGCTTCCCTGCCCATCTCCCAGCCCAGCTGCACGAGAAACCCCCAAGGGGCTCAGACCTTCTGGAACTGCATCCCCAGCACCAAGGGATGGGGATATGCCCTAGGCCAGCGAGCTGGGCCAAAGCTTTGCCTTCAAAGCCTGGGAAGGGACATTTCCCATGGGCACTGGACCTCTGGGGTCATGCCTGAGGCTGCCAGGGCAGAGCAGGGCTGGTCAGGGGATGCTCTGTTGTACTGCAAGAGGAGCCCACAGGCTATTTCTGTGTTGTCTGTGTTTGCTNTCCCATCCTTCTGCCCAGGGAGGGCTGTGCTCCTGGGGCTTTGACTGACCCGTCTTCCCCTCTCTCTCCTCTCCATTTTCAGGTTCTCTTGTCCAGGCAGCGCTGACTCAGCCGCCCTCATTGTCTCACAGGGTGGGAGACACTGTCAAGATCCCCTGCTCTGGGAGCAGCTACAACTGGTATGACTGGTTCCAGCAGAAGGTCCCTGGCAGTGCCCCTGTCACTGTGATCTATGCTAATAGCAACAGACCCTCGAACATCCCTTCACGGTTCTCTGGATCCAAGTCGGGCTCCACGGGCACATTAACCATCACTGGGGTCCAAGCCGAGGACGAGGGTGACTATTACTGTGGTAGCAGGGACAGCAGCAGTGGTCCTTTTACATTCGGGGCCGGGACCCGTGTGACCATCAAAGGTGAGTAGTTGATTTCTTCTTGGTCTTTCCTTCCCTGGTGAGAAATTTTGACATTTTGTCGATTTTTGATGATTTGGGGTTTTTTCTAAGACTTGGGGCGGGGCTAGGGTCTGCCACCCATTTGGGGGCGGACGGGAAGCACAGTGTTTTGGGCTGGGTCTTGTCCCTACGGACTCTGAGGATTATGGCGCACGCCATGAAGGATTAGGGGGTATTTTCTGACATGAAAGATCTTAAAATTTGCCCAGGAAATATGTCTGAGGTCTCAGGAAGACGAAAACTTGGGTTTAGGTCTCGAAAAGAGGTGATTTTTATCTTTGTTAAAGAAATTTGTCAGCCTAAAATCTAAGTCCTCAACTCTTAGTCCTGAGGACTAAGTCTGTCACCACCGGTGAGAGAAAAGGGCTCCTCTGTGGGGTCCTGTGGCCAAGGGTGCAGGGGCTGTGAAAGGACAGCCATCAACAACTCGTCCCTGGGTTCTTAAATAAAAACTTTCAGGGATATCCCAAAGAGCCCATTGTCCAGGTAAGTCATGTCAAAAATGGGGATTAATGCGTTGAAAATGCTGCCAGGAATGTCATTTGTCTGCCTTGTCTGTAATTTTAAAAAGAATCTGATCAAAAATCCCAATTTGAACCAAATTACTGGGGTCTAAGATCAAAAGAACTGGTTTTTGATCATTTTTATGCAGAAATTTTTTAATGGTGAAGCCATCCTGGTTTTTGAATAGAGATAGAAATAGAGAGAGATAGAAATAAAATGAGAGAGAGATAGAGACACTGTGCATTGGAGGAGGCAGCAGAACCATCTCAGAAAGACCAAAGATCTTTTCTCCATCTTTTTTTGTGTGATTTTTACTTGTGCTTTTTCTGAGGCAAGTCTGAAATTGTCTGAAAGCAGAACTGCGCAGAAAACAGAGTTGTTTGTCTGTGAAATTTGTTG